CCAAAGTTGGGCAAAATACAAAGTATTCAAATCATGTTTGAACCCAGAAGCTCCACATAAGGATTAAGCTCACCCATTGTGTTGAGAAAATTAGGGCGAAGAAAAACAGTAATCGACACAAATCCAGAAGAACACAGAGATTTAACGAGGTTCGGCAAAGATGCCTACGTCCTCGGGAGCAGAGCAGAAAAGAGGTTTACAAAAATCAGGGATACCTCCTGGGGTTACTAACAGGCCTATTTATAACCCCAGGAGTAAACCTATGCACAATATGTAATTACAACATTACCCCTGTACCATACCGCGGGGCTTTGCCCCCGCACCCCAACCCACGTAACTTCCCAATTTGGACCCGCTTCCCTCCGCTCCGCTTCGATCCAGCGTCTGTCCCGATATGGTATATGAGTCATACCATAACACATTGGTTGACCACTCATCTAATCAGGAACAGCAAACTACTTTTTGAATGAGATATTATTTTAAGCATGTTTTCTATCAAGATTTGTTAATTGTTCTGTTTTTTAATGCGTCACCAAATGTAACATTGATGCAAATGAGGAGGTTATAAACCAAAATCTGCAAAGGTTTGATGTACAAAAAATAGCGTTATACTACACGATAAAGATCCCATATCCTTCTGATTTCTTAAACAAACACAGAAATCATTTTATACCGCATTATATTGATTGTTTGTTTAAATCATCATGCAGAATGGCACCGAGCAGGAACAGCAGACCGCCATGGATTCACTTCAATTGCCGCTAGTCACCAATAGACCCCCAACAAACCTAATAATAGGCACCAATCCACAATTGCAGACAAATGCCCTACCTAAGCAGTTTCCCTATCACTTTCCTCCACCATATCAAATTCCCCCGCATGTTCAGCAACCACAGTTGGCGCAGCACGACTTGAGGCACCAGTCCTTCTGGGTAAATCTAATCCAGGATATCAATATAGGAAAGAACATCAAGAACCACAACCTCCCTCTCGCCAGGATCAAAAAGATCATGAAAGCCGATGAAGAAGTCAAGATGATCGCCGCCGAGGTGCCGCCGCTTTTTTCGAAGGCATGCGAGCTTTTCATCCTCGAGCTGACCCACGGCTCGTGGTGTCAGGTTGATCGAGAAAAGCAAAAAACTTTGCAGAGGGGGGACATCTTTTTAGAAATTGCAAAGCATCAGGTGTTTGATTTCTTGGTGGATATTGTGCCAGAGAAAAAAGTGGCAGAAAGTGGGGTGGCAGCGTCGACGTCGACGGCGATTTCGGGTGATGAGCAACTGAATCAACCTGTTTCTTGTTTTCATGATCCTTCTATGCTCGATTCGTTGATGGTGGATTCTAGGCTTTCTGACACTGTTCCACATTGTTCAATACCTGCTCAACAACATCAATATAGCAATGCCTCAGAGAATGGAGAAAGTGCAGCGCCAAATTTGTCTCCATAGATGTAGAAAATTTTATGTCGAGACGTCTACTATTGGATGATAATATATATATATAT